CTGCAAATGTATCTATCGCGTCTAATTAATCCCAGACAGTGCTCTAGTTCTCATTTCTGATATATTCACAAGGGTCCAATTCCCTAGTAGACACAGAAATGCTATTCTCAAGCTAAAATAATGCAGTTCTTTAAACTGAAAACAAACGCCTAGAATACCCAAGGCAAACAAACCCCTATGGATAAGAATATCAAGGAGTTGCATTAGATGCAGCCAGTGCCAGAATAATCTCCTTTTTCTGCCACACAGACATAAAAAGGGGGTACTTGGACAAATGTGGTATGCAAGGAGGATAAATGAAGAACCATGTGGGAAACCCAGATTAACCTCATCAGTTGATAACAAAATACCTATTTATGAACATGAAGTAGTGAAGAGGACAAACAATATAGTGCAACTGGACTTCACTCAACACTACTCAAATGTTAAAAAAGAAAAAACACACAACCCCCTCGAACTATATACTGAACAAGCTGTATTAACCCTTCCTATGAAAACACACCTACAAGTTGCAATAGTAGAGAGGTTTGTTTAACAAAAATATTACCAGTCCCTTCCCTATCATCTTGTCTTTCTTTAAGTGCATGTGCACTGTTGGTACATATACGCATATACACACTATATGTACTTTCAGAGTATATCTTATTAAGAACTATCTTCCATCATATTCCTTTTAGAGGACAAGCCAGAGCTTGCTCTGACTTAGGGAACATTCTGAACATTTGTTCATCTAATGTTTTGTGAGCACTTCGTTGATCACTTAACATGCTGGAAAAATTACAAAGGTCTTCAGGCCTTTTGACCTTTTGTACCTTTCAATATTTTGCATTAATGGGAAGACAAAAGCTTTTCCTAAGCTGTTTCAGTAGCTACTTATCTTCACCTTAAACAAGTCATAGAAATAAAGATGATTTTTATCTAATTTAAGTGTAACATAGGATCTTATTGTATCTTTGCCTGCTATGTGGGAGAACCTTCTGTTACCACACAGGTACATAGACACTGAATAAATCACTACCAAATCCTTCCATTTGATAGTGTTAATACAGCCATAACTTTTTCACTGTGAGATTTAGAATTATTTGATGGTCTTTCTCTGAAGCTTCTGCAGTGTTTCTTTTCAGAAAATCACGGATTCTTACAATGTCTTATGTGACATATCTGAGAAGAACCATACCCACCCCTTTGTCTACAGTGCTTATAATCCCACTTAGCCTTTTGTACCAATAACTGAGATACATACCTAATCTACATGCCAGGTAATTCTTTGAAATCTGAAAACAATAGGCATGGATTTCCAATAGTTCTTCTGATTTATCTGTTGAAGAAGCTATTTTCTCAACAGAAAAAGAATGAAAATGCCACTTGAAAGAGTGTGAGCATTGATTTGTATTTACAGCAAAGAAATGTTGAAATTGCAAGGATTATGAATTAACTGCATGCTGAAATGAGCAGTGTATCTATTTTTAAGGGTCCCAATGTTTTAAGTTTGAAGTGAGATTTTTTTCTATGTAGTGACAAAATAGGAAAGTTGAAAGTGCATATTCACAAAAATCGTCTAAGAAAATTCAGGGGTAAAATTAGTAATGGTGATCGGAATGCTTGAAGAGTTGTAACATTGAGATGTATTAGCATTTCTTGAAAGTTCATGGCAACAACTTCTTTGCAACTGTTTTTGATTATCTCCAGTTTAAGATTATCTACATCAATCAGTGGTGCCAGAATAGAATCTATGTTCAACTTACTCAACTGTCTCTTTTTGAGCTCTTGTAGGTTATATAAGCTATGACCTTCTCCCCAACAGAAGAGATGGCACAGCCAGAGAGTGCTCCAATAGAAATAAAAGTAAAACCACATTCACAGAAAGCAAGAAACAAAACTAAAAGCATATTGAGCTGAATGAGCCGCTTGAAGGAACACAATGAAAGAACAACCCTCCCCCAAATCAAACCATGGAAAATAACAGATTGAAAAAAACAGAAATGACCAGATCCTCAGGTAGTGTAAATCCTTGCAACTCTACTGCCTTCAGTAGAGTCTGCTGATTCTCACTAGTTGAGGAGAGGCCTAGAGATTTTAATTTTACTTTGTTGGGCACTAATTATTGTCAATGGGATTAACAATTATTAACTTCCTTGTTGCCACTGATCTTTATATGAACTCTTTTTTTTCCTTCTCCATATTTTTGATCACCTTGTTCTCAGCCAGGCAGTATATGTAGTCAATTTTTAAATGCATATTTTATGAATGTGGAAATAATAATTAAATTTGATATGCTAACTGCTGTAGTGATTGTTATGTACTGCTTTAGAAAAAAGCTAAATTAGACACATATAGGTTCTAAATAGTAAATGAAAATGCTTTCCTGTATATTTCTAATAGGTAATGGCTTGATGACTCTTCAACTAGGGCCCTTAGAAATGACATATTTCCTCTGAAAAAAGGACATTATGTCTATTCTAACGTAGTTTTAAGTGTAACGGCACATTTCGAGGCATGCTCAGCTATACAGCCAATGACAACCTTACGGAGATACACCTTATTAGCTTTGACAGAAGGCTAATAAATCTCCAGCCTGGAGGGTACTCCCTGGGGAGGCCTGGCTCCTTACCTTTGACATGGGGGATGAAGTGGTGTCGGAAGGGGGAGTTGGGGCGGGAGTCATGGTGAGAGGAGCTGAGACTGCTAGTGCGCAGGTATGACAACCGCTGCACACCAGTAGAGAGCAGCTCTGCGGCAGCAGGGAATCGGGGGGCAGAACAAAATGAAAACAAAGAAAAACAATAAGAGAAAGGCAGGGAAGGAGGCTTCAAAGGAAGAAAAAAAAAGGCATTGAACAATTAGGATTCTGAAAAGAAGGAAGGAGAAAAAAAAAAGGTTAAAGACGTACCGAAGGGTTCATAAATGTTAGACAAAATTACAGGAAATATTAGAAGAGAGGCTCAGATTTTAACTGCGTCACTAATTTAGCATAACATTTATTGGCTTAATGAGCTTCTGATCTATGCCTTGTTACCAAAAAGTAGCCTGATACCACCATGCAAACATCACAAACATTGATGCTCAATTAGTTAAGAAAGCAGCTGTTTTGAAAAGTGCCTGACCAAAAAATGTTAGTCAAGAGGCATGCAAGCTGTTTTCTATTGTTTTAAGACATTCCAAAAATGCTGCCAACATCAGCTAGGGCACTGTGGGAGGAAAAGGCTGCAAACTTTTTCAAAACTTGTAGCACTCAAATTTTTGAAGAACCTTATGCTGACAACATCAACACAGTGGTTCACTTCTCTCTTAAGGGCTAACCGGGAGCCAAAGAGAAGTTATCTCGGGCCACTGGGTTTATTCACAGAGAAATTATTCTTGCAAATAACATGATGATAAGAAGTGCCATTAGGAGAAAAACGGTAAATATACATGTGCTATTATTCAACACGAATAACTACTGCAGGAAAATTATAAAGTAGCATTAACAATTACCCCAAAGCAGGGTAGCAAAGATGAAAATGATGAGTTCTACAGAATTCTGTGTCATATAAGAAACAGAAACAGGTGAGCCAAAGATGAGATCATCTGAATAGAGATAAGTTTGAACAAGTATCTTCTCAGAAAATCCCTCAGGCTGTGAACTTCTGAAGATTTTACATTTGGATCCAAACTCTGGCTTGAGCCCATCTGCCCATCACAAGTTACATAAACGGAGACTGCTTCTGGGGAAGGTCCTTGACTGAACACAGACAGTAAAACTCAAATTACAGTAAAGTGTGGAATAGGGCCTGGATTTGTTCATATCCTTGATACAACTGATACAAATGGAAAAATTCCCTCAGAATTGCCAGAATCAAGAGACAGAAGTTTGCAGCTTTTTCATGCTTTTAAGTCTCTTTCGGTTTCAGTTGTAACGTCATCTTAAAACACAGTCATGTTGTCAGCACTAAGTATCAGACACAATTTGCTTCTGTCCCACCTCCCTTGGGTCCTTTAAATAAGGCATTCACTGACAGACACAATTAGCTGCTTTCAGTCCACCCCCACTAGGAAATGGCTACAGCATTCAAGTTCCACAGTGGTGGCTCTATTATAAATCTTTAATTTTAAAAATGCAGCTCCTATTGTATATGGGCTTTTGGCATCCCAACTGTTCAGCTGTAATCACCAAGGAAGATGAAACTGCATGATTGTATCGCTTAATTTAAAAGCAGATCACAAAGATTTAATTCACTACCATAAACAATAAAATCAGTCTTGAAAAGTCTTCAATGAATAGCATTTAGAGATACATTTTTATGCAATTTGGGTGTGCATGAACAGTTCATTTTCATATCTTGTTTTTATATACACAACCAATAATTTTGAACGTGCTGGGAACCTGAATGACCTGTACATTTTCTATATTGTACATAGAACTTGCACATCACTGCTAAACCAGTAAATGAAGTTTGTGTTTTTTAAATGTTCCCAGGCAGTTGCCTATGGCTTTAATTAAAGAAATCTATCTTATGAACCATGAATCTATGTTTAAAAAAATGACTAGCAATTTGGAATATCTGGGGGTTTTGCTGCTGAATCTGATATTCTATGGCTGCACCAAGCTTTAAATGAATTGGTTTTTAGGGGGGAGGAATCCTACATTACTAACTTCTGTGTAGTCAAGCCATAACTTTTGTTTCCAATATGTGATAAGTTTCTCAAATTCCAGAATGAAGTTTGTGATTTGCTGCTGCAAATACTTCCTTGCTTTCAGAAACATACAAAGATTTAAAAAATAATTAATCAGAAACAAACCCAGAAGATCCATATTTATGATGTAAGAAACACTCATCAGCCTAGTACAAAAGACTGCATCAATCACGAATAAAAAACAGGTAGAAAAGGAGATATTAAAATATGGAACAATTTTTCAATTAATTTTCACTGCTAAGAGAAACAGGTGCTTCACTGTGCCACTAAGCGACATAATAAAGAAACAATAGTTTTACATATACTTCTAATGCAGTTGCCCTTACCAGGTCTGTGGAAATGCTGAGGGGAACGTGACATGGTGGGTGTGTAGCTATGACGACTGTACACTGGAGAATTAATGGAGCCCTGACTAGTAGACCTGTGAATCATGCGATCCCGAACATCTTGATAACCCTGCAGAATAGAAGCATTCACTAATAAATGTAAATGCACATTACACATTTTTAGCAGCACTTAACTTTCATGGATCTGAAGACATCAGCAGAAGCTACTGAAATAACAAAATCCCGTAAGATTTCAACCTACTGCATTATTACTGTTCTCTAATGATCTGTTCCAAAGACTCCAATCCATTTTTATAGTCTGGGTCAGAGTTCAGTCTTGGAAGGTTCCAACTCCAAATGTAATTTCTATTAAATTCTATATAATCCCAGATTTGCCCACATTCCTGTGACTCTATAAGAGAAGCTGCATTCAGAGTATCTCTCCTGCAGCATACTGCACAAGATACATGAGCTAGCCTTCATCTAGCTAACTTGGAGACCAGCAAGAATCCAATAGCTGCAGCACATAGCTCTCTGCAGCTTCATTTACCACATGTGTCAACTAGCTACATCAAAAGGTATTTAGTATCCAAATTAGATTCCCGTTGTATCTGAAAACATGACACCTTCTTGTATAGCAAAAATCAATTTACTTGGTTTCCTGGGGGAAAAAAGCCAATTAAAAAAAAAAACCAAACAGAAAAACCTCAAACCAAACAAACCCACTCCCCCACCCCCCCAAAGCCCCACGAAGCAAACCAAACCAGGACAAAAGGCGCAGGACTGATGTTAATGCATGAAGATTTACAAGAAATTTTAAGTAACTTTTTTAACATATAACAACTACTACAACTTTTATGTTGCAAATAAACAACACTCCCCCCCCCAAAATGATAATTATTCTGCAATGGCATCTATTGTATCCTGACAAATGATTTTCCAAATGTTTCATGTTATTGTGATGTTCAAATTAACTCTTAGGGAAAAGCGAAACCAAACCAAACCATAGTTATGCTTTCTTCAAGACAAAACTGCAAATGTTTTAGTAGCAAACATAGCTTATTACTTAGATGCTTAGAGCAGCATTTTAGCTCATGTAAATCACCCAGCTCCTGAGATCTGAGTCTGCCTATGCCACAAGAAGGATTAATGTACAAGAAGTGACCTCTGCTGGACAAATTACTCTGCTTTATAAACAACAAACGGGTAGGAGAGGTAGCTTCATTTTGTGTACAATCTGTCAATAAGAACGTAATGTTTTCTTTTTAGAGTTAATTTTTGTTAACTTTCAATATTCAGAAAAAGTGTCTGTGTGGCAAACAGAGATGGATCAGACTGATAACAAACTCAACACCTGCTGGAGTGAGTAATTCTAATTACAGTAAGATACTGCTCCCCCAAAGGTTCCACCAAACTTACTTCTGCAGAAGGGGTAGGTGATAATGTCCTTGGAGACTGCAAAGACATAAAAATAAGGTTAGCAAAACATCTTTGCATGTGGTGGGCCAGAAAACGGTAATCTAAACATTGCTGAAGATACACTGACATATGGCAATGTAAAATGGCAATGCACAAATTACTGAGGCCAGTGCAGCACTGGAACTTGTTTCTTCCAAATTGTTCTGGAACTGGTCCATAAACCATTGAAGCAATTCAAGTTTCTGGGAGAATCTTTATAAGCATGATTAATTTGGTCAAATATCATGCAACATCATCTCTCAGCCATCTAATCATTGCGGTAATTAAAAAATAGCTGTAAAGATCAAAATCAGAAGGGTTATTAATTTAATAACCATGCCTGTTATGAAGAAGTCTTTAAAGTGGAAATCAAAAGTAAATAATCTTAACTCAGAGCTTTGCAAGGAAAATCAGAAATACAGAACAACTTCCAGGATGAAGCATGTTTTTCCTCCAGCACACATACTCCAGCAAAAATGTGCTTCTCCCCAAGGCCTCACATTTCATACCCATGCAAAGGAGTACGTAGTTGTGATCAACATTTCTTTGATATGATCTCCTTTTAATCTCTGTGTTCTTCCATGGTTACATAAGGAGAACAGACAGGAATTACAAGCATGTATATTGAAAGAACTGCGCAAGGGCCAGCAGGCAGAAATATTACGCACAATATTATGAAAAATTTCTATTACAGAGATAGGGAAACTGAGACAAGAAATACCTTTAGAAATCAAACATAGGATTATGCATACGTTGATGGTACAAACAAGAATAAGGACTATGTATAATTACCAGTTATGGGCCCTTTAATCACAAGACAATTTGAAGCTGGAAGATCAGGATTTAATTATTTTCTTTATGCACTAAACTTCAATATTATTTAATTGCCATAATAAATGAGGGAAAAGATTATGCTTTTAAATAAGACCACAATTATTATAGAACGATACAACTATTAAGGTAATGTCTCAGAAGCAGAACTGCTGATTCTGGTCCAACTATTGCAATACTGTACAACAGCAGTAGTGTAAAACATATGCAGAATTTCTGGTAATAAATATCCAGCTATACATTTTGCATTGAGAGACCATTAACTCTCATGGAGCTGGTGACACTGTGAATGCAAAGTATCCAAAAAGGAGTGACATTTTTATTTGGGTATAGAACATCTCCTTTTCAGCAAGTTTCCATAAAGCTTTTTAAAGACTGCTTTCATTTCTTTCCACCAAAGCCTTGAATGTCTTTTACGTTCTTGCCTCCTTAATCCTTTTAACTGCACAAGTTCTATACAGCAAACCACCATTTCATTATATATCTAACAGCAGCAGCTATAAAAACTTTGCTCCCCATGAAACATACCGTATACGGTGCTTTGTAGCATCATTCTCCACAAAACCTGAGAGCTAATCTAAAACTTTCAATATGAATGAAAAAAGCACATATTGTGATGCACGTTCCCACATTTTTCTACTAGTAATTTATGTGTTACTGTAAATAAATTTCCATAATCTGCTGTGGTTGCCTAGATGCTAAGGTAATGACTACTGTAAAAGGTAGTGACAGGAATCTAAGACTGGGAAGGCATCCCAGAAAGTAATGTGCTGAATCCATGACTAACATTTCATGTATTTTCACTCCATCACTATCTGACATCACCTTGTTGCTTTTTAGGAAATGGAACCACACTCTGCAGCCAACTTACTGCTTTATCATGCACAGGTGAACTGCCGTATCTCAGACTCTGAGTCTGCCAAGGAACGCTTGTTTCTTCAGGGTTTATGAGGTCTTTTAAAATCTGGTCTATCACAGAAGTCTACACTAGTCATAGTCGTAGTTCAAAATACACTGTGGAGTTGACTGAGAAGAAACAGAATAGTAAGCCAGTGGAAATACAGAGTGATGACTCCAGATTGGGGGGGGGGGGCGGAGGGGAGGCAGAGAAAAGAAGAAGTCTGGGTAGAGAGCCTGTTCTGACTAAATTTACAGTAAAACTTCTACTCACTGCAACAGGCTCAATGCTCTACCACTTTGAGATCTATGGGGTTGCTCTAATACCTTAAGTCATACAGGTCTTCTTGTGCTCTGGGAAATTTCTGCACACTTTTACAGGTGTCGTTTTATAACACAAGTTCCAGCATTTCACACCAACCTCATTTTAACTGTGTTTTTCTTGAACTACCAGGTAGGATGCTCCACTTTGAAGCATGCATCACATTAGAAAAAATCCTTTTCTCATTTTACAACAGCTTGTTTACTGAAAGCTGTTACACACATTCAGTGCTTTCAGCAGACAGAATACTAGAAACAAAGGACATGCAGGTAAAACGCTGCTTCTCTCATTATTTATGCAACAAAAGTCAGAGCTGAGAAAAGACAATTTCAGTCCTAATCAGTTTGCTGCTAGCAGGGCAGAAGTTATAGGACATGAAGAACCTGAGTAACTGACAGTTTCTGGAAACGTTATCACTACATTAAGGGTCAGCCTCAGTAGCAGAAAATTTATTTACAGATCTCATTTCATATGTCTTAATCTCTTTTATCTCAGAAGCTAAACCACCTCTTCATGAGCTCCTTTTCTCTTCCCCCGCTAACTGCTGGTGGGTCTATAACTAAAATGCCTGGTCCCACTAGATGGTGCTATGTGAAAACATTTTTCATCACAGACTTCCAGAAAAACAAGACTGGGATTTAACTGAACTGGAGTGAGAAATTTTCCCTTCCATTGCAATAAAGAAGAAAGTCTCATGCTGTGTTTTCTCACTTTCTATGGCTAAAGTATACAATTTTCTTGTAGCCCATTCCCTGTAATTAAGGTTTGTCTCCAGTACTGAATTTGGTGGCTCTTGCACATCTCCCTTGTACACCAGAAATCTTTCTTAGCCGAGTTTAGTGATTTTTTTCCTTTTTTTTTAAATCATGGTGAAGGGCATTTCTAGTGTATAAGCTTAAACTCAGGGTCCCCTTTTATTTAACACCACCACATACACACACTTTGCAAAAAGAATGCAGGTTAAATCACTCAAAGTCTGCAAGTCCTTGCCATGACTAAACATGTCACCTCCTTTGCTTTTTAAAGATGATGGTGACTGATGTATGATGTACCAAGATTGTTGTCACTCAATTACCACAACACAAACACAAAGTAAGAGATCACTCCACCCCAATGGGCTTGTGTTCTCATTAGGGCAAGGGAAGGGAGGAAAAACAGGTACAAAGAGGTGAGGTAACTTGCCCAAGGTGACAGAAGGCAGCAGTAGCGTTGGGTGGAAAACCCAGATGTTCTGAAAAGAAGGTGAGAGCCCTTCTGTTTCCAGAACAAATTTCTGTAGTCACCAGAAATTAATTGGATTTAATGCTGGTGAAAATACGGGGTAAGAAAACCCCAAAGGCTTTTGCTTATCCCCAGAACAAGCATAACAGCAGACAAGTTCCAACATACTGCTTTGCAAGTGAGAAGCTTCCCCTTCAGGATTAACAAATAGTTCACCTTCTCTGGGTGAGATTAATTAGTTCCTCTTCTGTGACTAACAAGAGACTTGTGTTTGTAGAGGGTTTTGTGGAATGGGTCAGGCCTGTTGGAACTGGTCAGAGGTCACCAATGAATCTCACAGTAGTTTTGAACCAGATGTCAGCTTGATTCATTACCAACATAAATTTGAGGGGGAAAATTGTGTAATATTCTGACCTGTTAATCTCTTATTTTATTCCTGAGCTGAACAGTCTCTTGAATTTCCAACTCATGTTACAATTCAAAAGACTAACCCTATGAAACATTAAAGAACAAAGGAGAAAAACGGAGGCAGCTCTGATCTGTTGGTGGGCAGAACACTTTGCTAAGAAAGCAGATTATCAGTCACTGATCTGGGCATCTTCAGACCACTGGTGCGAATGATTTACTGTACTTCCTTTTTCCTCAGCTTGTCTTCATACTCCATTCAGTTACAGTCAGTAAAGTCACTGAGATTGCAAGAAAGTAAATCCATTTCCATGTCTATTTAGGTTTGGATTCAGGAAGTCTGATTTACAGTCAGATGGTATTACATGACAAAACCTGCTTCACTATCTGCACTGGAACCATATAAATAGTAATTGCAGCTATGGAAGTTCACCTGAGAAAACCGGGGGACCTTACAACCTGAAAGATATCTTTAAATACAAATTAAAGAGAATGAATTAAATAGGGGTTTTTTCCATCATTGCAGGATACAAGAATCCTTACTAAATGTGAGGCAGCTATTTACATAACACAACTAACTTGCTATCCCAGGTGGAAGAGCACTTCATTCTGACCCAGTTCAGATTTTATCCAGTATGTCTAGCAAAGTGCTCTGGAAATATATTTCCCTTCAATATGTGTAAGAGAAAGCATCCCGCTGCTCTTAATCCTTTTACTGCCCTGTATTCCTCATATTCTGTTGTGAATATCAGTGCTCCACAACACACCACGAGGTTGGGTTTTGCCTCACATTCTGGACTTTGCTGTACCCAAAGACTAGGATATCCATGTGAGTTACAAGAATGCACCTACAGACAGCCTGCAAGCCTCCCCCTGCTCCCCCGCCATTCCTCTGCCAGTGGCTCGTGTTAACGTAGGTGTTTAACTGTGTGATTAATTGTGCAGTTTCACACAAGGCATCATCATGATTGTTCCCATTTAAACCCAGATCAAACAGACAAAAAGCACTGTGAACAGCAGCAGCAACAATATCTAGGAGTGTCAATTAGAAACTGTTTCAAAAGAGGATAGAAGCGAAGCAGGCTTTGAATAAAGCATATAGCAGAATGAGTTGCTTGTCGGTTCATTACCTCTCCAAGACTCTGTCTCTCCTGTCTGTCCTCGTAGGCAGAAGTGTAGAATGGCTCATAAGTAATTAGGTCTGGACGTTCAATGTCATAAATGGCCTTGACTTTGGGAATGGCTGCTAAATCCTTGTAATCAAGGATTTCATTGTCTACTTTTGCCTGAAGGTCAAAGACAGAAGATAAATTAACTTAAACAAATGCACTGGTAATTTTTGTTTTACACAGAATTTATGATTTTTGTGTATTTGTTGTCACACTGTTGCTACGGAAAACCCTTTCTGGCACTCTACTTGCGAAGTGATTGCATCTTGTTCTTCTCCAGCAAGCCTCCTCTGCAAAAGCACACAGTGTTTTCTCAGTTTAGGAAAGAAAGAACATGGCATATACAGACCTAATACAAAAGTTTCTTATCCCCCGTAGTCAGCTGTAAAGGTCAGCTCTGCAAATGACTCATTTTGTGGCCTCAGGCAAGTATTTTCACCTTTCTGCTCTTGTTTTCCCCATATGTAAAATGTGTGATAACGTCAATTTAGTTTGCAGATTACAGAGATTATGAGAGGATTCCATGCAGAAGACCACAGACAGAAATTCAACTTATAACTGTGCACATGAGAGGAAATAAAACTTATTACAAGGAAATAAAAAGGCAAGCAGGACTATTTGTCAGGACTGAGTGTCCGAACTCCAACTGAAATTATTATATTGCACTCATCGCTCAACCTATACCCAAGCTTCTGACTAAGGCATATGTTGCTTACTAACTGCATACTACATAGTACTAACATAGACTATTTTTTCCACTAAAACTGCAAGGACCTCTTGACTAGTTAAAAAATGGAAGTAGGAAATCAGTTCCAAAGACAGCTGCACCCATTAGAAGAAGCTAGAAAGAGACCTTGCATATAGTTTAGATAGCTAATATCTTTCCTTACTTAAAAAAGGCTTTTAAAAAAATCCTCATATATTCTTACCCACCTTACAGAAACAGATTTGATGATTAAAACTAAAAGGGAATATTCAAATTGGTTTTCAATTCTTCTACTAGATATTTTATTTATTCATAGCAAGCTGCACAAGGAAACAAGGCTGATCTGTTTCTACTCACATTCAGTTCCATTCTTGCTGAGTACTAGCACCTAGTATTTTCAGAGTAAAGTGCATTTGCCTTCCCAAGCTCTCGTAACAACCACTGGTCTTGGTGGTTCTTAAGCAATGCCATAAATCAGAAGCAACACAAAACATTTTTTGATAGAGAAGTAAGGTTTGAAATAGTTAGGAAATACACGTTCTAAAAATAGCCTCAAATCTGTTCAGTTTTTATTCACCAGATATAACAAAATACCTTAAGCGAATTAACCCTTAAAATATGTAGGTATATTAAGGCATGTTATTTCTGTAATATTTTTACCACAGTCTGTTAATGAGCTGCAAATATGTCTGGATATTCTTAATCCAATATAAATTACCACAGATATTTCTGTAGACCCTGGTCTAGGCCACCATGTTGCCCTTACAGACTGTGCTGTTGAGCAGCAGTTAAATTTCATAACCTACAGCTTATGAAGTTGATATTACCAGCAGACCAGCAGTTCTCCAGGACATGCTCTGTGTTTTGATATTTGCAGTGTGAACATTTTTAATGTATCAGATAATTTTTGTTGCTGTTGCTGAAATGCACTGAAGAACTAGTATTTAACTCAAACTCAGGACTCGAGATTTGTAATTTTGGTAATTTTTCTGCATTATTATACAAGCAACTGATAAATTTGTGTCTTACACTACATTTTTACCTATGTAATCCTAAGGCTATCTGTGAAGTCAGTGATTCAGCATTATGCATAGGTAACAGAAAAGAAAGTTTGCCCTGTGGTCTGCCTCTTCCCAGCATACCTTCATCTTTGCTCCCCTCATAAGGGACTCTCTCTCACTAACTTGTCTTCCTGTGATTCTCTTCCTTAGCTGTTATCTTCCACTTCTACCTTGGGTTTTGTGCAGGTTATCTGTGAGCATGCTTTATATGAGAACAAAGGTTATATGGACTTTCAAGGAACAGAATTCTTAAATGGATGTGAGTTTTTGGAAGTGTAGGTTATATGCATGGAAATACAGCAAGTTTGAGAAGGCTGAGTTGTTCTGTTATTCACCCAAGTACATTTGAGTTGATCTTCTTCCTCCTTAGAACCAGCTTAGTACAGCCACAAAAGATGACTTTTTTTTTTGACCCTGTGGACTTCTTTGCCAAGAAAAAAAAAGGTACTGACATTTACAACACTGAAATGCCTGGAAAAGTGGTATGAAAAGAGGAGAAAAACATTATTCCTTTGAAAATTTGGGGACAACCTTCTGCTGATGTATTTCCAATTTCAATTTCTAAGATCCTATGGGCTCAAAAGGTACCAATAATAAGGCCAAGAAGTGAAAGAGATCCTCTAAAATAATGAAAAAGGAGGCTCAATTACTGAAGGAATCATATTAACACTCTACATCTCAGGTAACCACAAATAAAATAGTATATCAATAGCTTTGCATTTTCAGCACCGTTAATTTAGTAAAAGAAGGATGCTTAGTATCATTTTTGTTCTTAAATAAAAAACACATTTCTTTCCACAACCAAACCATCTGACTTCTGAAACGGAAGGTATTGTACCAGCCAGGCTCCTTTTAGTGTAGCTGACCCTCCTCCCCATGTCCTGCAACTGCAGACAGCAGATCTCTCAAGAACTGCATATTGAGGTTCACACATCTCCTCACACAACCCCTAACAAAGTCAGATGACCTGTCTGCCTTCTGTCCCTCTTCACACCACCAAATGACTTCAAGAGATTTACTGTATCTTTCTAAGGGAAATGTGACCTGGAAAAGGCCTACCCTGCTCTTGGAATTCTGTAGTTATAAAAACTGCATGGCGAGAGTCTGAACAATTTAACCACTCGAATAAAGGCATTAGCATCAGTATAAAAGTGATTTATTTCAGCATGAAGTATTTTACATGCAAGCAAGGGATCGGCAGCTTATTCATCAGAAGGCATACTTACATAGATAGTGTGGCCTGGAGAGCCAGGTATACTGGAACCTGGTCTGGAATAAATGCTTTCCGATGATGTTCTTGTAGGCTGAAAAACAAAAAGTAACTTTTCAGAGCAACCTGAAGCCATTAACATTGGTAATTTGGGGTTTAAGTGAAGAAATCTGCATACATCTTGAAATTAACTGAATTTAGGAAAAAATGTTGACACAAATGCAAGCATTCTGGCAAATTTCACAATCGTGTGAGGCAAGTAGGCTTTTTTTTTTTTTTTGGTAGGGGAAGGAGTGCTGTGAGAGGGCAAAGAGGTTTTCTGAATCACTCAATGTAAAAGACTGTTCATTAATAATAATGAACAAAATCAAACAACACCTGCCAGAGACACTGCAAGTAGCCATACAAAGTACAACCCAGGATAGTCCTGCTGCTCATTTTATCAAAACGTTAGTTCACAAACAGCTAGAGGTATCAGCAGTTCAGCAGACAAAACCATTGAGAAGAGCACAGCACACATGTTATCACTTTCCAGGTGTTCAATCACTGGATTTCCATTACAAATACAGAACTGAATTCAGTCCTTCTAAGTAGAAGGACCAGAAATCCTTGGCTTGGAGCTGTTCCTACAATTGCAGCACAATCTAGATGCAACATGAAAGCTTGACTGTTGATTGAAATTTCATGATTCCCCATACTGCAAAAGTCCTGATGTTTAATGACAATGTCTTACAAACTGAAATTCATGAGAACAGGCACATTCCTACAGAGCCAGTGCTTTTACACATTTAGTAGATTTTCCAACACTTCATCAGGACTAAACAGACTCTGATTCCCTGGGGAAAGTTTTGTGAGAGGAGACAAAATGACTTATCACTGAGATGTGGGGATCCTGAAAACTTGGTGAATTTGAAAAACATCTGTTCAATCAAAAATCACCCAGGCTACCCTGGCCATTACTCCTAAACTTGGCATACAGCAGACACAGAAGAGTAGTCAACGATATCCCACTTGCAACTGAGAAACCATGAACAATTTTTGCTCCCTAATTGACTGCAAAGACCAAATCCCATCACAAAGCAACGTATCAGCAGATGACTCCGATGACACTACTGCAGGATACTTCAAAGTCACTGAAAATTAAATCTTGGTAAATAGTCCTTACCTCATCAGCTTGTGACATTGAACTAAGGGACCTTCAGGCACACACTGAAGAGAAACAAAGCTTGACAGCCTGGCTTGCTGATTTTTCTTAGGAAATATCTAGATTGAACGCAAGGCTACTGGACCTTTCTTATCTCACAGCATGCATTTCCTGAAAGGATCTTTCAACAGACCTCAGAGTCTTTCTACCTTTTATTTCATAGCCAGGAAAGCTATTGGAACCATCCATATAAAAACTGCTGAAGACTACAAAGACTAGCAGGCTTTCTCTGACTTCATTTGTGGAAATGACATCACCACATTCAGGGAGGGTCAGAGGTATAAAGGCTTTGAACATGTTCCACCAAAAAAAACATGAAGGTTCAGATCAGAGAGCAGATGTGGCCATGGACTGACACAATCACAAATCCTCTCCAGAGCATGTCTGAGAACACTTTCTCAGCTGGACCTTTATGTGTTTCTTTCCTTTTCTCTCTGTAGCTGCAAATTCCTACATCCCAGAAAGGAACAGAAATTTCTCAGCTGCCCTTAAGCTCCTCCCATGATGCAATCAAAGCAACAAAACCAACAACAACCACCTGTTTCATGGAAATGTTACAAGAATTAAGCTGGAAAATCTGGCTGTTGTTGAGAAACACTTTATTCCCCCTTCCATTCTGCCATTTCACACCACTGTCTGTTTGAGTGGAGACACATGTAACATGTTGCTGCAGTTGCTATGGAAAACAATTGTTTTCATGACAACATACGGAACAGTATTAAGCAGTTGAGGTACTATTAGGGGTTTCTCTGTTACCTTTGGCTTTTGGCAGACATACTTTAAGAGTTCTGTCTGCTCAATTCTCCCTGTTGTAGGAAAACAAGCGTTAGAGGCAGTTATGGCTTCTTCCCACCTGGCAGGACCTCTGGGTTGCTCTTTGCTCTGGATCTTTCATAATAACTTCAGAAAACAAGAAATTTTCAGCCCTTGGTTCATCTCCTTAGTCTCATCTCTTAGTGTCACTGCTAAAAACCTTTCCAGCAAAGGAAAATTCACTTGTATTTATCACTTCAGTGAATTTATTAAATAAAGTTAGATACCTTGAGATAGTTTCAGCCAAATCCTGCTAACTAACAACTTACTTAGGTGCTCTTAACCCTGGAGTACAGGAGCAGTTGTCAGATGGACTGGCAAGTTGTAGCATCTGTTCTTCATTTCCTCACTGTGTTTCTGCTCCAAGCTCCTCATTACCATCCCATTAACACAGCCATGAGCCAGATATGACATGAGCCTTTAAAACCAGTTTTGTATTTTCTGTAATTCTTCCTGCTTACATCAGTTTTACCTTCCGTCTATTGCAAAGCTCCACACTCCCTGGGCACGATGCCAGCCTGCCAGCCACTGCCTAAGCACACACCATTCCTCTCCTGAGGAGCTTAATCCAAGCAGACCTGGGACTCTGTGGCTCCTCTATTCACCTCCAGTCCTGTATCTTGCTTAAGTTCACAACACACCCCTGAAGACAGTGCATGAAAAAGAGAACTTCTACATCTCCTCTCACCCTTCCTGCCTCACTTTGCCCTATTTCTTGTTTTGAATTACACAGGCTGTTTCCATCACAGATGGCTATTTCCTACTCTGCTGCTCCCATATGGTCTGGAATCCTTCACAGCTCTGCACTTTCCCCTAAAGACAACTGCATTGTACTTAAAAACATTTGTGCTGCTTGCCTTAACAAATATACACTAAAGATTCCTTGATATAAGCTGTTCCTCTGGCATACTTTTACTTGCTATGGTTGGCTCCTCTCCTAAGAGACCTATAATAGCTCCTGACTGAAAAAGTGTGACAGGGTATGTACGGCTTTTATTAGATTGTACATTACATCTTCACTAGCAGTCGAGAATCCCTGACCCTGTGTACCACTGTTGTGACTTTATATCTTAAGCAGGTGGCAAGAGACACTTGAGGTCAAGTTCTCTACTGATGTAACTGCAGTGGGGTGTAAATTCCATCCTAGAGGACAGCTGATCAGAGCACAGGCAAAACAGGAATAGCAGCTATCCCTGATTTAACCTTTAACCTTCAGTAGAGATACCATGTGAGCATCTCTTGCACACATTATTGGAAGGAGACAGGTAAAGAAATTAGAGGAAACATCCTTTAATATGAATGCATTAATTTAGAGGTATTTCCTTCCATCACAATAGTCCTGTGACACTTGTTCTACACTCCCAGCAACAAAACAAGTTAAGCTGCTTACTTCTTCTACAAACAGATCTGGAACACTCTTTATATGATTGTTCTTGTTCTTGAAGGATTCAAATAGAGCTTTTCATAATGCCACCTTTGTGCAGAGAAATTTAAAGCAAACTTCTATGAAGAACTACAACTAATCTTTTTTTCTTTTCTTGTGGTGCATGGCCTTTCTCCACATTTTCTGACAGTAGAAAAGTCATCTTTTTTTTCTTTCCTCTTCCACCCAAAGGGATGTAACAGTAGTAAATATATCAATATGGGATTTCTCTACCAGATACAGGAAGTCTATGAAGTGTATGAAAAAAATCGACAGAAATTCAGTCAATAGAAATTCATGCAAGTCACTAAAGGAGCCAAAGAAAAGAATCAGATCACAAAGCATCTAAAGTATCTGCAAGACTTCTCAGATATTTTCCACTTCATCACAGACTTCTTATCTTTATGTTTTTGTTCTTCATTCCATGCACTTGTCTTGAGTGCAAAAGTTCTTTACGAACTTCATTTGCAGATTGGCACAGGTAACACCGTCATGCTCATCCTACCAGGTTCACATGAATTATCGTGTCACCCATGCTTATGCCCCAAAATGATTAACTTTTCTATTTAATATTAGATTGCAAAGCTTAAGATGTTCATCTGCATTTACCTCAGTTTGTCATGTCATCATGCATGGCACATCATCTAAATAAATAGCTTTTAAAAAAAAAAAAATCTACGCTAGAGCCATTCACATTGTCCAGATGCTGCTACAATGTGGTGGCTCTGGCTTTCTCAAGTACAGATGTTCAGAATCATGCTCTATAAAAACTTAGAAGTGCAGGCAACCAGATCAAAACTGATCCCAAGAACATCTGGCCAAATGGATGCACTATTGTTTAACAAAGGCATCGTCAGCATTGTTTACAGTACCTGCCTTAGTTTTTTGATAGAGTTCATTATGCAAGGCGGTGATAATAGCTGCAGAAGAATGAATATGTTTTCACTTAATAACATTTAACATTATAGCTTAAGCAAATTCTCTAAACCTCAGAAGCTGCTTTAAGTGAAGCATGTTTTAAAATAAACTAATAGAAGACTAGGATGTAATTTATTCTACTAGGCAGACACAATTTTGCGATAGCAAGGAATTTGGCTTTCTCAGTACAACGCTTACTACTCTGACTACTTGCTTCATCAACTGCAAGTTTTTACAGTTATTTAGGACTTGGAACCAGGGTTCATGAAACACAGGCTTCCTACGGATTTCAGTAATTTTCAGTGGACGTGTACAAGACCAGTAAAGCACCTCAGTGTTACAGCATTCATTGTGCCTGTCTGCTAGTTTAACTGTACCCTTCTCCTTACAAGAGTGTTTCCTTCTAATGCATGCATTCATTATTTCTCTGCCTAAAAAACCTACACTATGTAAGCATCAAGACAAAAACTAGTGAACAGGTTAGTTCAAACTCACACAGACACACATATTAATAGGTTACAACTAATTTTTCTTCCTTTCTAGACACAAAGACTAGAGAGGAGAATGAATTTTCAGCACATAATCACTGAAGGCACATTGCTACTAAACAAACTTTTACAAGACTACTCATGCAAATGTAGCCTTCACCAAGGGTAAGTTAAGGAGAAAGCAGAAGAAAATAAAGTGGGAAGCCCAGAACATACTGAATTCAACAGGAAACTTCTCAGAGAATTCACAGGATTTCACCCCGCAATTTTCAACCTACAATTTTCACATAGATTCAAGCCTTTGTCCCATCATTGTAGCAACAGCAATGATAGTATCTTTGTGTCTATTCTGCAGAAGAACACTCGAAGCCAAAATCTGCCTTCAATTACACTTTGTATAATGATCATGTAAATCTAAACAGAATTTAATACTGACTAAATTTACACAAGAGTATATTCATCTGACCCTAAGCTATTTGTATCTTACACAGTCCACAAATCAAGAAGAACATACCTTTATTTTGACATGGGCTGCTCCTATTTTGCCTTGCATATTTTTCTAATACATGGGATAGGATTTGTTTTTTTAATCCTAAGGCTCCTGGATTTCAGCACCAGAAACTCAAGACTCGTGCATGCTAAGCTAAATGCAAAAAGCTACTACGCTTGCCTAAAAGGTGACTGAGATGGTCCCACAGTTTGCTGTTCGCAGACTCCAACACTCGATTCCATAAAGCCTAGGACTGCAGAGACACTGCCCTCTTTAGGAGCACTGATAACACATCTTTATAGCTGTATTTTCTTGATACATATTTCTGTAGCTAACAGAGCGCACAGCGTTCAAGAGTGGTTAATACATTGCAACATCCTAAGTTAACTGACTGAAGTACTGTGCTGGACAAAGGGCACAGGGCTTGCATTAACTCCTACTGAATCACAGCATTGGATTCAACCATATAATGCCACCCTGCAGACTAACACAATCTAACACAAATATCCCGCCCTGGCTGATAATATGACTACAGCTACTTTGCAATTAGAGATGTGAAGGCAGCACCAGGAAACACAATGGAAATCCAGTGGCACGGACTCTATCAGCCTGTCTGCCCACCACTAGCCTGTACTAAGCCCGTATCAGCACATTCTTTCTTTGTTATCAGCTGAAAGCTGCCTCAGGTGTGCCTGCATGCAGTACAGCCACATGTGCCCCCACAGCAGACACAAGTAATAAGCCCTGAATAAACTGCCCTGAAGGAGAAGAAATGGAAGCGGGTGGTGTTTGTAGGTGCAAAGCAAATTCAAGGAAGTCTGAAAGTAGACATGTAGTCCAGAATCAAGAGGACAGGGAGGATCTCCCAACTTGGATGTGGATGTGCCCCAGATTAGAGAGGGGCAAATGCTCTTGGGCAGCACACAGAACATGGCCAAACCTGGAATTTTGTAAATATTTTCTCAACTAAAGTATTCATGTGTAGTTGGTCAATACAAATAAAAAAGGAACTTATTTAACTGATGGCATTTTTTTTTCTAAAAGCATGAGCCATTGTTCATGAAAACTACTTCTTTTTAACCATCACTTTAAAGTCAGATGCTTTTCACCATTTTCATTTGCTTCATATTTGCACTCCAATTTTTTGTTTTAGAAGAAAAACTTTCCGTAATGCTGGAAGAACAATACTACAGCCCCCCAAAGCTCATCTGAATCTAAAAAAAATAAATTAATTTAAAGCATTTCATTAAGCAAAATAAAAAATGTGAGAGTTAACAAACAACACTGCACCACATGATGCAAAATACAGCGTCAGTGCCCCTGGTGGCAAGTGATAGCAGGAAAGCTGTGTGGCAGAAGTAGTAGCAAGCACAGCAAATGACAATAATGAAGAATCTTCTCAATAAAGAAGACCATTATCAACACTATGAAAACACAACAGCAAACCTCTGCAGAGCGTGGCCTGCGCAGAACCAGACTCTTTGGATAAAAGAACTCAGATGAGGAATGCTGTCATGAAAAACAAAAGGGAAAAATGAGTGAAAAGGAAAGCAGTCTCACCAGCTCAGTGGTTAAGCTCTTTTTTCAACCAAATTACTAATATCTACTTGCTAGGTAATAATCTGTACATTATAATATCTATGTTACTTACTGATCCCTGCAGAATCACGAACAGCCAGACAGTTGTAAAAAAAACCCCTAAGCAACGTATATTTTTGTAACATATATATGGTTGCTTTATTTTCTGCTTGTTTTGGCTTTGTAATCCTCCACAAATATCCAGTGGGGGGAAGATCTAAAGCAACCATTGTTTTTATGAACTCCCTCTCAGATCTTGACCAGCTAGAATGACGATCAGTTTATATCACAATTCAGTTACTGAGAGAAAACAGAACTTGCTGAAAACTTCTGAAGTGACTTCAGTGATAAAAGGGCTTTTTGTTTTGTTTTGCTCTATAGGGTAAGGAAACTTAGCAGAGCAAATAGGCCATATCACTGGCTTTTTGCAGAACCACCAGAAAATCTAGGCCTGACCCTGAAAGTGGCTATATTTGTCAACTCATAAAGCAGATTCCAATTCTCACATCAGGTCTAAATGTGTGTCATAAGAAACTGAAAGTCAATCAAAGTACATAATTTAGTGGTGACATGTTTAAATAGCACATAGTTCCCCATTTCATTTGTTTCTGTACCTACCTGTTTGCTATTGCCTTCATTTGAGTCAGCAGAATGAAACGTGTGTCAACGTCAGCAAAGTGAACTCAAACTTATTTTAAAATAAGGTGTCTGACTTTGCATTGGAGTAGATAGAGATGATCTGTGATGGACAGCTGAAGCTAAAAATTCTCCATCTCTCCAGCTAGCTACAGTACAGTGTATTTGTCAATGCTTTTTAAAGATATTAAACCTCTGCATAGAAGCTCTCATCTAGGAAAAGGCAACCTTGGATAGCTGTGCCATAACATTTCTCAGATGTTCCCTTAATATGCATTCTTTCGCTTCACTTCATTTTCCTGCAAGAACTCACTTAGGCAAAGTCTTGCAGGTGGATGAATTGACTTACTTCACTCACTTCAATTAAAATTAGCTGAGGGAGAAGACGACTGACATGCTTGAATGTGTGATGGAAAAAAGGTAAATATTTGAAGAGGACTTTGGCCATTTCCATGCGGAATGGAAATAAGCCAACTGATTTATAAGGTCAGCTGGAGAATGTTCATAAGGGCTACAATGTAGCCAGGAGTGCTTTGATAAGATTCTTGGGTCCAAGTGAAAGGGAGGTATTGTACCCCAACTATTCACTACAAAGCACAAGCATTCTGACGCTTAAGCAGGGCCAAAACACTGTCTTACATTCAAACTGTTAAATGAGGAAGAAAATCCGGTCCGGCATAATTTTCCATTTTCTTATGGAAAGTCAGGACAGAACAATGTGCAAATGCTGAATGGTACCTACAGTGATGCTTGGCCATGCTAGATCACATGCCCATCTAGGGCCAAATATAATTCTGTATTACCGGCAGAGCCCACACTAACATGAACTCTGGTCAACAAAAATTTATCTGCACATTACCTACAATCATAGTAAATTCTCTGCAGGGGATGTTTTACAGACCAGTGCACCTGAATAAATTCTAAAGACCGTGGCTTCCTGTGAATAAGCCACATGTAGAACACAACCCACAGGATATCCTAGGTATCTCCATGCCAGTACCTCTTAGTTTCCTTGTCTGAAAGACATTTTATTCATACGCAGTCTCTAATATTCATATCCAGAAAAATTAGCAAAGTTCAAAGGACCAGCTGAGACATCAAAAAGAGAAAATTGTCCAGAAGGTTGTTCACCTGTACTCCGCACTGGTGAGGCTGCACCTCAAGTACTGTGTTCAGTTTTGGGCCCCTCACTACAGGAAAGACATTGAGGTGCTGGAGCGTGTCCAGAGGAGGGCAACGAAGGTGGTGAGGGGTCTGGAGCACAAGTCTTACGAGGAGCGGCTGAGGGAGCTGGGGCTGTTTAGTCTGGAGAAAAGGAGGCTGAGGGGAGACCTGATCGCTCTCTACAACTACCTGAAGGGGGGTTGTAGCGAGGTGGGTGCTGGTCTCTTCTATCAAGTAACTAGTGATAGGATGAGAGGAAACGGCCTCCAGTTGCAGCAGGGGAGGTTTAGATTGGATATTAGGAAAAATTTCTTCACCGAAAAGTTGTCAGGCATTGGAACAAGCTGCCCAGGGAAGTGGTTGAGTCACCATCCCTGGAGGTATTCAAAAAGCACGGAGACAAGGCACTTCAGGACATGGTTTAGGGGGCATGGTTGATGGTTGGACGCGATGATCTTTGGACGCGATGATCTTGAAGGTCTTTTCCAACCTAAATGATTCTATGATTCTATGATTCTAAGATGAATTAGTGAATATGGGCTTAGAATTGCCTGGTGCATGCAAAAAGCCAGGCTCCAGCATTTATCAGTGCAGCATTACTGCCATCAAGTATTTGATCCAGAAAGTTTGTCTGGATATGCTGAGGTGACTCCAAGGGTAACTGCGGCTCTTCTTGGCATTCAAATTAGGATCACTTTAGGCTGAGGTTTATTTGGATGGCAAAGGAAGAAGAGTCCATATTATCTAAATGCTGTAAATAACCATGCAGAACAGGGGTAACTATAGAGCAATTACACAGATGTGCAAAAATACTAAAATAAATCATAGCATTTGCCCTGTTCACATCTTCTCCTCAAGAGTCTCTCTCACAATAATTGAGATATGAAGTGCCTTAGAGACTTTGCAATGTCTGTATGTCAGTAAATTACACTACCTTTAAGGCAGTGCACTGAGACAGGTATGTGCAGGTTGGTGAGCCTAAAAATCAGAGCAATACCTCAGAAGTGCCTCCACTGTTTATTCTGCCAGTGTGGTGACAGCTATGTGAAAAACACATGGAAAAAGTCACTCTTTTAAAAACAACATTCCATTATTGTGTGCGCAAAATATCTGGTGTGTCATTGCCATGAATTCAGCTTACCCGTAGCTTATCTTCAGTCTTAGTGGATTGCTTACAGTCGGGATGCCAGACAGTGGAACCTGATGGAGGAAAAAAACCATCTTTATTCAGAGCAAAGCAGATGATTTCTGGTCATGACAAGTCAGTTATTAAAGAGAATCCCTTCATTGCATGGTGAATGTGTATGAACTATGCAAGTAATTCACATTCAATTCTAGCTCATAAGAAATACAAGTGAAACAAAAAAAAATTTCAAATCCTTGGCCCATCTACAGCAGCATCTTCCTGAGGCTGTCAAAGCACTTTGCACACATTCTTAATTAAAACTCAAACAGTCTCAAGCAGCAAGGAAGTCAGTAAGCACCAGCTGGAGGAACTGAAAGACAGAGGGTTCCTCTGGGCAGGATGGAGGGTAAGAGCAAAAGAACTGGGCCATGGTTACCTGATTTGTTCTCCCCTTACATACTGCACTGCACGTAAAAAGGAAGTTCTGATTATAAGTCCATTAATACTGGGAAAGTCCTGTGACTTCCTTGAGCAATAGGTGTCATTCAGTTACTGTAAAGCATTACTCAGATCACCTCTTCCCTGCAATTATGCAAAATGCAACAGGAAAAGCAAAATTAGAAAATTCACAACGCAGCACTCAGGGCTGTATCTCACCCACTGCACTGGGCTAGAGAAGCCCGTATGACACAAGTGGTACAAAGCAGTATGTGAAAGAGCCTCTCCGTAGATCACAGTGTACCATACTTGCCATTGGCACACATATCATTTCTACCCCTTGCTCTGCAAAGTCAGTGGCATGTGTTGCACTGGCACTTCCACACGGCATATTCCAGCTACACATCCTACTAAAAAAGGCAAGGTCTCTGCTGTTTGTGTCCCAAAACGTGGGATTCTCTCTTATGCTGTAAAAATGGAAATATCTGGCTGTCCCCAAGGGGCTGAGCAGTGTCAGGGGCAAGGAGCACTTCCATCCCATTTCAGCTCTCCTTTGGAACAGAGTGTAAACTGTGGTCACTGCTGGGAAGCTCCTGGCACGTATTAGCCAAGTTGAAATGGAGCAGAAGCTAATGCTGATTTTTAACACTGACTGCAGCTGCAGTCAAATTCAAACTTCATTCCAGTCACCGCAAAGCCAATACAGAGCCTTGTCTGTCTGCAGGGGGGAATGTCACCTCTTCACTCTCTCCACAAAGAAACCAAACACAGCAAAGTCCAGGTCTCCTGCTGGTGACTATTAGCTCAAGTGCAGTCAGAGGAAACCCCACCCTCAGAGCCCAGGAGAGGTACGGGTCAGGGCCCCTGGAAATTTTGTTCTAACGAGCCCTTACATGGCTCAGTACAGAAGTAAAGACCAGCAGGAATGATTTCACTTCTCAGCAGCACACAGTATAATCATCTTCAGGAGACTGGAGAGAACGCCGTGACTCTGGATCAAGGGTGTGAGATGTTTGGCTTTGAGTCCAAGCCGAGGAAGAAGAAACTGTGCATTTGGCAGGGGGAAACCATCAGACAACAGGGAGAAGTGTACCAACAGCCTTCTCTGTAAACAAACAGCAGCCTCAGAGCCAGGAACCCACAGAGCCTGCAAGATCAGGAGAGAAGCATGCCCTGTGCTTTTGTTTAGGAGGTCAAATGGATCCAAGCACTCAGGAGGAAGGGACTTCATGTTATAAGGCTGATGAACTAAGACTCAGAAGGTTTAGGTTCAACTCTCTAATTCAGCTGTGAGCTTCCTGTGTGACCCTGAGAAAAATGATCTCTGTTCCCCTGTACCTCAGATTCTTTTCCATTCAGCTATACCCACCATCAAAGAAAAAGCTGTCACTACATTTTTGGGCAGTATTTAGCACAAACTGGCACAATTTTAGGGACACCCCAGGAGGATGCTGCAGCTGCTGGAAGTGAATGAGAAATGCAAGAGAGTCTGCATGTCATTTTCAGGGTGAAACTTAGCTAATGGTTGTGAGTTTTCTTTTACAAAGTAAGAGGTTTGAAATATGTGAAATTAAAAAAAACCAATCAGAGCAGGCTTAAGAAGTTAAATGTAAATATTTTTCATGATCTTGAACTCTGAGCCACCTACAACTTGTAGATTTTATTCATCCAAACATGCCAATCAATTTGGAAATGCTTGGAACAGTGCAAATTCTCAAGCTGCATTGTCCCTCTTTTTCCTACCGTAAACAGTTCAGCAAATTGTGGTTATTCCCATTCTTAACATATGTTTGTTTGCTCACTTGGCAGACACCAACCAACACATTCATTTATTCAGCTTTTTACTTTGCACATACCATTGTTTCAATATACAGCACCCTAAAAATCAGTAACTCTGGCTATTATTGACACACTGAATAAGGCTGAAAGCCTGTGTGAGAATCAAGTGAAGCATCCCTTTAAATGCTGAGCAACATCCTAGCTCAGCAACAGTCTTCTGGGGCAGTCCATACAGTAATATATTACTAGGAAGTTAATGGGAAAGAGAAAGTTTCTGATGCTGCTTCTTTTTCCTGTGTTGGAGCAGGGCAAAGCCAGAGTGCTTCTGCTAGCATTATTCAAACCATCCTTAACATAGAAAGCCCCCAAATAGACAGCTTGTTTTCCCATGTTCTCCTTTTGCAGGTTTTCCACACCCTTCTAACACAAGTAGCTACCACAAACCTGACAGGCTTCTCTATTATAGAAAGCAATACCAACGCAATGCTTTCACATCCTGTGGAGAGGACAATTAGAAGTGAGATTTAAGCTGCCTATTTTCATATATTTTATCAATAATGTGATTTTTGTTCTAGCTGTAGTGTTGTGGTGTTGTATTTTTATTTCAGAGAAATGCTTGGAATGCTGTTATTCTGCACCCTAGGGTAAACAATTCGGATGGAGACAGGATATACATTTCAGCTGAGAGCTTTCCACAGGAAAGGCTTTTAGGTCCCTTACACTTACAAGCATGCTGAATTCAGCAAGGAAAGCTTTGGCAAGACAGTCTGGAACACACTCAGCAATACATTATTTAGTCAGAAAACAGCTTGTGGACAATAAAACAATGCAACTAGGGCTGCTCCTCCTCTGAGACAGAGTGAGCATGAAGAACACTAATTCACAACCACAGAAAGGGAGATACAGCCAAGAAGAGAACGATGGCAGATCAAGGAGCCAGGTGTCTCTCATCTTTCACATCACCTGAATTTGGCCAGGACAAAATCTAGCCTTGTTTAACTAGAAGCAATACCTTCTGTCTTATTTGGATCTGCAGAAATTTACACTACAGCCTGCCCAATCAACATGAACGCCCACTCTCTGCTAGACTGGTGCAAACGGCTTCAGTTGCAAACAGCTGTTATTAATAACAGCAAAGGATGAACTGATGCTCACCTTGAACTCTGTCTGTACTTTATCATACTATGATGTGAGGAAACTAAGATTACCAGTTGTCAGATGCAGTAACTGCTGCTTTCAAATCAGTCTTTCCAATTTGCCATCAGAAAGCAGTACTTCCTACTCAGGGCTCTTCCAGCCTCTCCTTGCTCTTGCAATGCAGAGCTGCTACACAACTCAATATCCAGTTCTGTGCGTCACTGGAATAAGATGACTAAGGTATAAGGTCAGTGAGAGATGAGAGGGATGGACTGCAAGGGAAGACAAACTACAAAATAATAAGTTAGCTTCAAAGGAATTCCTTAACAGTATTATCTTAATTTTGGAATTCCTCCAGAAGGAATCCCTCCTCAGAATTTCAAGAGATGGCTGCCACCACACTTTCATTGTTTCCTTCCTACTCTTTTACAGTCCTTTCAGGTATACCAAGCAAGTTTTCTAACATAAGTACAATATATAAAATCCCAACATGTATCTGCCTTTTTCACTTTGATTTCTGGCTTGCATAAATGTGTATTATACATCTTTCTACCAACATTAATTAATACTACAGCAAGTAATAAAAATAACTCTAGCTTAATAGTTAACATGCTACCTTCTGGGAGAGTAGGTGGAATTCAGATCAAGGATACTTTTCAAGCAATGGAAAGAGCACACTCTTTTTTATGTGAAAGGATCATGAAAAAAAATGTGCTTGGCAATACCTGGGAGTGTGAGACTGTTAATAAGAAAGAGAAGATGAAAATGAACATACAAGAAAGAAGTGACTGTAGAAAGACATAAAAATAAAGTAAATGGGAATAAAAAGAGAGACATGACCAGATAAAAGGGAAATAGGCAAGGCAAGCAAATATGGTTAAGAACCAGAGGAGACAATGTCAATGCGCATGGGGAATGAGATCTGCCATGACTCAAGACAAGCTCACTGCAGCCTCTGGAAGTTTTTCCATTGTCTTTTACAGTTTGGAGTGTGGTCCAGAAACTGATCAGCAGAATTCAGGGGAAACCCTCTCACTTTGTTTGGTATCTCATATACCAGCCTGGGTACTAAGCTATCCATGAGATGCCAAATTCAGAGGCAGCCTAAGAAATTTCATTTTTGCTACACAGCTTTTGAAAACAGTCTGTCTCAGCTAGGGTGTAGAGTCACTGCAATGCCACTGTTATGGCCACCTACTAGAACGAAAGGGTTTCAAGTGAGAACACTAGTGAAGAGAGGATGGCTATAGTCCTCTTTGCCTTTATTACATGGGGATGGTTTATAAACTCCTGAGCTCTGTGACAGAAAAATTACGAAGTCCAATTTTCTTGTTTTGGAATGGAGACATCCTTACCTTGCAGATACATTTCTTCTCCTTCCGTGAACATTTGGTTGCACCTGCTGCATCGTGCACAGCTTGGATGATAATGCTTGTCACCTGCCTAAACAAAAATAAAAACGGGAAATGAGTGACCAACACATTGCATTGTTTTGTGAGCACTCACTATTTGCTAACAGACCACTGCCATTTTTCTTCTAGTTCACCTGTTATGATACAACATTGCCCTCATGATGTGACAACAGCGACAAGAATGTAAGATCTGCCATACTGCTTCAGTCCAGAGGTCTATCTAGTCCAGTATCCTGTCCTCAACAGAGGCCAGCAGTGACTACTTAGGGTAAAAGGCTGTAAGAAACAAGACAATACTGGAGGCTATGTCAAAATGTATCTACTCTTCATGATTTGCCCAACACCTTTTTAAATATCCGTCTATCCAACAGTCCAAGGCAACAAATGTCACACTTCTGTTAGATATTTGTGTAAACCTGCTGCCTCCTCGTTGTGTCAAACATTTTTTCTCAATTGCTCCATTGTTATGGATGAATTTAGACAATGAACGACAGTTTTCAACCTGCCATTTCATTCCTTGGCCTTCTTCCTGACACTGCTGGTATAAGCATTAATAGAGAGAGCTTTCTAGAGCCACTTCTGGGACAACTAACTTAACTCACAGATGCCTGACTTGAGAGGCTACACTAGCACAGACAGCTTGAGCTGAATTTGAACTATTGATGTAAAGATGCTAAATACTCTAGATCCTGTTATGCAAATCCAAATCCACTGAGCCATTCATTCTCTTAAATACATCGATACCCATAAAAAACAAAGCTGATCAGATTTCCAGAAACTAAGCATGCGATGACCACATCAGGCTTTTTAAATCAAAAAATAATTAACCCTAAAAACCCCTTAATAGTGACAAGTAATGAATTCTAAAAGTCTTTAAAATTGTATCTGGCTTTCCAAACAAGTTAACCTCAAATCCTTTTTCACAAAAGATTCCCTATCAACTGAGATGTTATATGCACAAAATACCTGTTTACTCTGTAGCTGACTTGTAAAATGTCATCAAATCCATTTCCTACTTCATTATACTTGAGACTGTAACATTACTAAATTCAACCTTTCCTCGTGTCTACTGAGATGAACAACAACATATTTTTGGTTCGCATTCAACATTGACTATACAGGCTTAGAATTTAAAAGTATTTATATGAGATGATGAAGTATATGGCTTAAAGTACCTGACAACTACCAGACAACCAGGTCTACCATCCAGCCCTTCTACAGATAAAGTTGCACCATTTAATTTTAATGTTCTCATTTGTTCCTTAGTAGTGCAGTACCTGGGTTTGATTTTAGGGAAGGTCAGGAAAGGCAGCTATTCACAGAGACAGTGGTGTTTGTGGACATGACTATTTATCTTTCATTATCACTAAGACCAATTCCTGTCAAGGAATTTCAGCAATACAAGGCCAGAGAAGAGGTCTCAGTGTACTGTTATTCTAGCCATGCACTCACTCTTCAGTTGCAAAAAACCTGCACTTCTCTTACTCAGAGAGCGCCTTTGCTGTTGATTCCCACTCCTTAGAGGGCAGCATCCACCAGACAGGGAGACTAATGTGATTTAGTATTTATTTTTTGCACAGCAGATTTAGACCTGTCAGACAAAAAAGGGGCTCTGGTAAAAGGGAGAATGAAAAGGTCACTACAAGATATGCCTATTCTGGGAAGAAAAGCTAATGAGGGAGGAAATGCAGAATTGATGCTTGACTTGCAGCAACAAAACCAATATTGAACCGAGAAGGAAAAACACAGTTAATGCTTATCTTCATCATTTTCATTATTGGCTGTCTTCTTCAATCTGACTCTAGCAATTATTTAACCCCTGAGGTGTCCCATCAGTTCCATTCAACACTGGAATTTAAGAAAAAGAAAATGAAGAAACTGTATCTGAAATGTAATGCTGGCATCAAACCACAGCTACTCTGATCTTGAATGCAGACGTGCAAAGAACAGGTACTTGTACATATATGAAGCTTAGGGCTGTGAATATTGAACGGGGTTCAAAGATGGATCTCCAATTCAGACAGCTCAGCACTCAGCAGAAGCCAACATCCTTTTCTGTACTTTCTGCCTCACACAAACAATATTGTACATACAGAGGAACAGCAATTTTATCTGTGTTTAGTAAAAAAAATATCCCAACTTCTGAGCATTCCTGAAGTTCTTCAGCAGAATGGGGCCCACAGAGCTGCTTGTCACAAGTGATTTCAGATGTATTTGATTTAAAGATGATGGCAAATCTAATGTCCTGGGAACTGCTCCCAGTTAATGAGATATAAAAAATTCCTAAGGTGGCTGAATCACTGCCAGAAAGGATCTTCTCTAAACAGGAAGACAATAATTGAAAAATACATTTGAAATAATAAAACAGGAATCTTTTCTGGGCTCTGCCTGTCTCATCCAACTAAAGAATATCTCTGCAGCATAACTGTGCTGCTGCTTAACAGAGCTCAAATTTTCAGTAGGCACATGGATTTTTCTGAAATAAAATTCATAACTTCTCGAAAGTTATTCAGTAGGGTAGCTGAGTAGCTACGTAGTCTGAACTGGAAAAAGTACAGGGCCTGTTATATTATTATTAATTAACCTCTGAGATATTCCATCTGAGGTGCGATTGTGTCTTTTGAGATGCTTCCCAAATTCCCAGACACAAAAGACTGAAACCTTGGTACATAAGTATTACCAGATGAAGTAGGTTTTATAAAGAAATAATTCCCTACCAAGCACCCTGATGCTCAACTAAGGCAAATGTAGTTTTAAGAAGGGCAGTTAGGATCCAGCAGAGATATCTATATTGAAAGGACCATGGCATGTGAACAAAGAAAATCATGCATTCACACCTATACAGTTTCAGCTTCTCTTCTTCCAGTCTGGCCTTTGAGTTGTGGTGGTTTTGGTTTGGGGTTTTTTGAGGGTTTTGTTTTGGTTGGGTGGGTTTTGTTTAGGAACAAGAAAGCCATATTGCACCTCTGTTTTAATCAAATGCTGCATTTCATTATCATAAGCAAAAGGTGCCAATCCTTTGGGTTTTGCACAGCTACTCTGGCTGTCCTACCCCAGGCTTCTGAGTTTCCTGTTCCTTGTTTTGCAGTTAATTCACAGGCCAGTTACTTCTACTAGCTTGGTCCATACTTTGTCCTAAAAGGGTCTGTATCTGGTCCATCTAGTGCCAATATTGATGAGTCTTTCACTTGCCGTGATCATACGATAAACATTCCACTTATTTTTCTCCTCAACACAAAGCTTTTCTTGAGGATCCTTTAGAAAAGGGCACCTAGATTCAAGTACTCGCCTGTTAATTGCTATAAGCAGTTTACATGTTTTTAAAAGCCAGGCTATTTATAGGAGAAACAAATCCAGAATTCATCACAATATTATGTGTAGACCTGTGGCCTCTCTGAAGATTTTTTTCCTGGAAAAACTTCTGATACGCTACTGTCAAGAGAATACAGTTTAAACAATGTACACCTGTCTCTTCAAAAGAGACCAATTTTATCAGATCTTTCCCCAAGGCTGAAACAACTTCCCAAATTTTAGTCTAGTGTGAGTGATGACGAATGACCACCACGCCCCAGGTAACACAACCTTGCTAAGTGGAAGTGCTAATACATCCTGCACAAGAGAGGTTTGGGGGGAGTTACATATCACAGCAGCTGCACTTGTTGCTGAATGCTTCCAAACCAGTTTCATGAGTTTTCTATCTCAGTAATATTTCTATGGCTCAGGATTGCAAGCCTTTCTTCAGTGGGTATGCACTGGAAAACAATCTGCATCTCAACTAACTTAGGGCAAATCTTGCTGTGCTTGATTTGCTGTTATCATCCGAGAAAACTAGTTGCTAAAAGTCAGTCATTTACAATGTATTAGGAAAACCTTTTGATCTACAAGGGGATGAAATATTCCACTTTTTAGACATCTGGTCTTGTCCATCTTGCTCTCAGGCTACTAAACCCTCATTCAGTATGTCCAATGTGCAGTTTCCTGTAATCTTATGCTACTGTGCTGTGGACTGTAAGGTTTCTATCTCAATCCAATGTTGGCAGTAACAAGTAACATTAATTCAGTGCACATTTGCCCTGAACATCCTTCAGCTAAAGTGCAAGAGGGTTAAAGGCACTTGCCTTCTCGCTATTCCTAGCTCTCCTTACCCCTTCTCAAGTCCACTTCATGTCCAGAAATCCTTTACAGTTAGCTTTGCTACACAAGGACTTCTCAAGTGGTATCTTGCACCCTGCCAGCAAAAACAAAACACTCTTCTGTTCAAAATACAGCTATTCAGCCACTAGGATTTGATATATCATATTGCTTATGATCTCTTCTGAATTATTTCAGCTTTAGTTGAAGTCTTTAGGACAACAAACCATCAAGTGCAAACTATAACCCATACCTTAGAGGACTGTCCCTAAACTAAGTTTGAGTAAGCTGAATTAATAGCTGTAAATACCCTGGTTTTGCTTAGCTAGAAGTGCTAAAACCAACCAAAATAATATTGAACATTATTGCTCTTACTTTGCATACAAATTCTTAAATGGAATTGAATGAATTGACAGCAGTTTCTTGTCAAATAGAATATTAAACCTACGTGTTACTGTCACTGCCTATACATTCTCTGTTAAATCAGCTGGCACTTGCATTTGAGTAGAAGCAAAGAACATCAGTTATCAATTTATAACAAGATACAATCTCTTCTGACTTTCCTATTTATCTTCTACCCACACTGACAAACCTAAAGTAGGTTCTCAGATTAAATCTCATTTGAACACCGTAGACAGAAAAATTTAGATTTAAAAAAGTGGTAGTATAGTCTCATTTACCAAACACTTCCAGAGTCTTAGAACTGCAGAATGAAGGAACAGTGGCCAAAGGTATATTATAAGTGTAATTATAAATTTAAATATACTGATGTTAAATTTGAGTAGCTTTCCATGGTTCTGCAAGTCTCACTGAACTGTGGTTGACCAGTGATATATGCATTCTATTTATTTTCTATATACTACTAAATACATACGCTATACACAATATGTGCATTATATG